TGTCCTTACCCACAGTGTATGAACGGAACTGTATAGGAATGGGAAGTAGCGATAAGCGAAGCGAGCTTTGTGTACAGACGACAGGTGACATATGCAGGTACGTGCCAATACAATAGACCGGTTTGTAGTAAAAACTGAGTAAATTCTCTGTATAATACATGATATTTGGGCGGTGAACGTCGATAATTCCATTTAAGCTATGATTGGGGCTTAAAATCCTGAATTTGAAGTAAAATTTTATGTTTTTCCATGGCTTATCAGTAACATTCTATGATCTGTAGACACTTTCTGGGACTTTTTTCCACTAAATGAATAGGTTGGTTATTGATGCATACATCGATATGTAGCTCGCGATACCATCTATCAAATCTACATGATAAACTTACTATATATACAGTGGTTGTTTCAAGAATTGATCATTTTCCTCCATACTCACTGTATAGTTGCTTAGTCCGAGACTGTATAGCTGCTTGCGTATTGCGATTATATTTCTGTATAGCTACTTGCGAAACCAAAGGCCTATGTTTATCCATGTTTTGTTGGTGTTTTACGTTTTAATTTACACTTTGTGTCAATTTATACTCCAGGTTGAAGTCAAAATGATGGCTGCGGGCCAAGTGAAGATGTCTGATGACAGTGACGCGGACGCAGAAAACGACGAAGATGATATTAACAACATGTAATCTGAGTGGACAAAATTAAGATGGATCGACACCGATAAACGTGCTATCACGCGCACTGTCCAATCGATACTTTAGATTTTGCTGATGCTATTGACCATTGCATCTGTGATCATCCAGATTCTATACTCAAACTAAAAATACAAACAACGTCCGAAAAGAAGGTACTTTATAAAACAAAGAACTTTCAAGTGATCCCAAATGACAAAGCTATGAAAGGAGGTATGATTATCCCCAATAAAGCCTCTCTAACCATAAAGATATCGAGACGGCCAGTGTTTCAAACACCCACATCGCCATTGCAACCATTAAACAGACAGAGAAATCAGTCAACACCGAAGCACCTGGATTTTTCAAAACAAGGTGACCCTCCAGGTGGCGAGGATACTGATGAAACACTTTTATTTGAAAAATTAAAAGACATGTCCCTCGATGAAGATGTAGTATTATCGACGGAACATGACTCATTTGAAACAGGCGAAAGCATTTTTCAGCCCTCTACTCCACCAGTTGAGTCCGATTCAGGGAGCGCCCAAGCTGAACAGTGTGAAGACAGTGACTTGTTAACGGAGCTGAAACAGTTATTGCCAGATGTTCTTCGTACACTGAAGAGTGGGGGACAAGTTGATATGTACATCAACTTAAATGAGCTATTGGCGAAGGACAAGTTGCCACTTAGCAAAACTTAAAATAAACAGATATTGCACAGAAATAAATATTTGTAATACTATATGATATGACTATTTGCGATCATCATGCGTGAAAATTTGCAACAACAAAAAAAAAAGGTGAAAATATAAAAATAAACGTCTAAGTAACATCTGAAGTGTTCATTGTTAATAATAATGGTAGAGATTAAACAAAAGTGTCTGCGCCGGTAGGTCCATCTGTCATCTTGATAACAATCTATTTATTACAGACAGTTTTGTGATGTGCCAAACTGGAACGCCATTTGTATCCTTTCCCACATGTGTCGCATGTAAGGACCCTTCCGTCGTGTTTGGCATAGCAATGCTCTCTTCGAGCATCGAGTGACTGGAATGTGGCGACACAGGCGTCACAGGTCAGCTGCTTGGTGCTCGCATTTCTTTGACAGGTGTGCCTCAGAAGGGAGCTTTGGTACTGGAATGTCTCCTTGCAAAATGTGCATTTCACCCTCAAGGCCTTCTCGTGTGAGGCGACATGTCCTCTATAGTTCCACAGTGTATTGAAACCTCTGGAACGTACGGCACATGTAAACCAGACGGTTTTAGTATGCACCGATTTATGATGTAATGTCAAGCCATATCTCGTGCGGAATGTTTTTCCGCAGTCCTTGTGGAAGGGATCCCTTGAAACCTAACCACAAATTGCTGATATTTTTATGGTACATGGCAAACCAAGATTGTATGAGGGAAATATCACGCCTATTTAATGTATCAAAATCATCTGTTTTTAGTTGTGTGAGAGAAGTTTCATTCGCGTTATGTAACGAAATGCAGAAATACATTCATTGGCCTGATCAGACTGAACAGGATGAAGCAGCAGAAGAAATTAAAAACAGTACAGGAATACCAGGAGTCGTTGGTTTTATCGATGGGACTGTCAAGTGTTCCCAAGGGGGACTCTGGTTATGTAAACAGGAAAGGGTTTCCTTCTCTCCAGCTACAGGTTGTTGTGTCACATAATATGCTGATCATTGACGCATACGTAGGGTGGCCTGGTAGTGTCCACGATGCCAGAGTTTACAACAGTCCTCTTTTTGATGGTCTCCAAACAGGAATGATAGCCCCTGGACATTTTTAATAGGTACTGTAATGTATTTACACATATTTTTGAGAAAAAGTCTATATGACAATGTTTGAAGCATAAGTAATTTCCTTTTCCTTGCCTTTCAGGAGATGGTGCATATCCCTTATCAGAAGTCATGATAACGCCATTTAGACAAACTGGAAATCTGAGTGCACAACAGAAGCATTTCAACAAGAAGGTGTCATCAGTACGTCAAACAGTAGAACGTTCAATAGGACATATGAAACAACGATTCAGACGCCTAAGAGATCTTAGCTGCCGTGACATGAAAAGTGCCTGTGAAATCATTATGTCCGGTTGTATCCTGCATAATATGTGTATATCACATGAAGATGATCTGTCCGAGTACTTGGACAATTATGACGGAAATCAAGTAGTCAATAACTATCCTCCTGTGTATTTGGATAATGCTCGTGGTGTGCGGAAAAGAAATGAGATTGTACAGCTTCTCAATGCCAACAGATAACTGTGTTCGAAAACCATGCCATGGTTGCAAAGACTAGCCACTGCTTTTGAAAACAAGACAATGTGATAAAGTGTAAAATGAATCAAACTTGTTTTATTAAATGGAAAACAAAATAAAAACGTTTGAGTATCTCTCAGGTAACACAGATTTAAATAACTTTTCAATTACATATAAAATAAAAGTCACCAACTGATTATGGAATAAAACCTATTAAACATGATAATACAAACAATAATATTTAGAAAATGGGTGAACAAATAATTATGGGGCACTGTTTTCGTATTTGTCTCCAAAGTGTGATTCCATTATTGATATCATTAATATAAATTTATGATATCACTAAATGCCCAGAATTATTGAGATATTATTAATTGAAATTATTGATACCACTTAGTCAAACTAGTGATAACAATAATTCAGGGCATTTAGTGATATCAATAATATGATATGTGATATTATTAAATGAATTAGTGATCACTAATTCTATTAAGTTAAATCACCAATTTGAATTAGTGATATAATTATTTAATGATATCAATAAATATACATTGATATCGTTAATTTGAATTAGTGATGTCACATTTCGTAGATAAATACTAAAACGGTGCCCCATCTGACCTGACTGCTAGTGTAAACTTATTACACCATATTATGGACATATGGAAAACAAAATGACAGCATGTACATGGATTCTTTCATGATTAAGAAAACTGAACAATTACATTTCTTTAATGTAGTTTTTGAGAAGTTGAAACTGATTGTGTTCCTTTCAATAACGACCACTTGGATTTGGGAAACTGTACGCGTATCGTACACATTTCAACATTTGAAGTGGCACTTTGTCTATAATACTGTGACCAAATGTCACCCTTCCCACATTACTGTTCAACAGTTGTGCCAAATTTTCAACGTCCCTTTGACACTTTGTAGTTACTTTTCCACTAACATACCGTAGCCCTTTCTTCCTCTGCATCAACTCTACCAAAAACTCCACAGAGAGTTCTGACCTACTTTCATGTGTAACTAAGGAATGCAAATTTGGCAAAGCAATGATGACATTGTAGAGAGACTGCAAAGAATACCCTACGTCTATCAGTTCCAAAATTTCTAACTGAAATAGGGCCCCTGAGTACAGAGCAGAAAGCAGACTGAGCATGGTTGTATTAGCTTTAGCTCTGATCACAAGTTTTGTCAATGAACATATAATGTTCAGGAAGAGGAAGTCTGGAACACTTCTAGGTGTCTGTTTACAAGACACATTTATATTGGTGAAGGTTCCCAGGATATTTCTTCCCATTCCTCTACTTGTTGAAGCTAAACACAGCTGATCAGTAATGTTAAGATGCCTAAGAACTTCCATGAGGATTGTCTGTGGCAGGCTGATGATTCTGAAATTATTATTAAACATTCATGTTTAAATGTCTAAAAAATGAAAACATGTTTATAATAAAATTTGGCAAAAGTAAAATGTATTTTAAGAAATCTATTTGAATGCATCTTGAGCAACTTTAAATTATTGTTGGTATCTCCTTGTGGACACAGACCGTGATAACAAAACCTGTGTTTAAACAGAAGTTATTTTACTGAACTTTGTACAACTGTCACCATTTAAAGACAAACAGCATTGCAAAAACAAAAGGCCAAGTAGTCAAAATCTACTTCGCCATTCCGGCCTATTAGTTCTTTTAGTTGACGGAGGACAGACAGACGCCATGGTACAGAATAAGCTCATATCATATTATAGCAACATTTAATGTTTTTTCTTGGAGGAGGGAGTTAAAGACGAACACCACTATATAATATGCTTCATTCACTAGTACTACACTATACATCTAATGAGACCAAAAATAATCCCCACCTTGGAAAACCCTTTTTCAAGAACTGATATCAGCCTGTCCATAGCTGCCATCTTGTCTTTGTGTCTTTCTACTTGCCTGGTGTCTAAATTTTCAAGCCATTCAGGTCTCTCTTTTCTTTTCCTGTCTCGTCTCGTCTTGCTTGGAGTCTGACTAGTCCGGTTAGTCTCGGTACTATTGCCCTCCATAGTCATGCCCCTGCTGGAGCTAATCGCTACTGATGGTCTTGTGGAGGCGTTCATGCCATACAACTGCTGAAACTCGGAAAAAAGGACAAGACTTTTTGTCGTTTCCAGTTTTTGAATTGTGATCCACAGTGTTCCTGTATTCTCGTTTCAAACTCTTAAACTTGTTCTCACATTGTGTAGGCGTAGATTTGTACCCCTTCTTATTCATGCTTTCACTTATTTTTTTCCAAAGTACTTTGTGTGTTCTCATGGAATGAAAGTCGGATTCCATAGTTGATCGCAAGTCAAACAGTAGAGCTGTTTCTCGTCTTCCCCAAAATTTTGGAAGATTTTCCTCAGTGGAGGATGACGCCAATGCACCACCTGTGACGGATGGAGGGTCGTTGTTGGAGGATGACGCCAATGCACCACCTGTGACGGATGGAGGGTCGTTGTTGGAGGAGGACGCCAATGCACCATCTGTGACGGATGGAGGGTCGTTGTTGGAGGATGACGCCAATGCACCACCTGTGACGGATGGAGGGTCGTTGTTGGAGGATGACGCTAATGCACCGCCTGTGACGGATGGAGGGTAGTTGTTGGAGGATGACGCAAATGCACCACCTGTGACGGATGGAGGGTAGTTGTTGGAGGATGACGCCAATGCACCACCTGTGGCTGAAGAGGTTTTTTTCAATTTTGATGATTCTATATTAGCCCTGATTGTTTCAAGAAGTTGAGTATCTACAAAATAAGCAAAAGAGAAAATGACATATTTCACTCATGTTTTAAAAGGGAAAAGTATAGAAAGGGAAAAGTATAGAATAGACAACTTCCAAAACCCATAGTTAAATAATTTCCAAGATTCAGATTTCTAAATTGATCTGATCTGCTTTACATATTTAGCACATTTTGCAACTACATTTAGTGCATGTAAATTGTTACAGATATGTGTATAATCTAAATTAATGCACAAAAAAAACTTAATATATTCATCATCTCGGTCTTTCGTCTTGGATGTCAATAAGGATGTTTAGATTAAACTCATGTAATTCTTGATGCATTTTTATTCTTGTACTTTCTCCTTCTTAAAATTAATCTCGACATGGGTTAATACTAGAAATGATACCAAATGGACTGCTTTAAATATTGATGAGGGCCAATCTTTTTTAATTAAAGTTATTTTGGACTTCCTACCTCCATTCTCTAAACGTTGAATCGTTGGCATGTCCAGTTTGACTAGGTAGGTGGTCCCATCACTATATGTTAGACGAGTTTGTTGCCAATATCCTGGACTTGAACTGCAAAACTTCAACCTCGATTGAATTTTTTTTTCTGGTTGCGATATTATTCACATTTACAATGAAACACGTATGTATGTACATTATCATTATGGCATTACCTTAGTACAAGATCATCAAAGTAGCATACTTCATCAGAACCAGTCTCTGAGCACCATAGGCATCAACACTGCCAAGTTATCATCAGATAATACGTTCTGTGTCATTTAAAGTTATTTTTTATAAAATTATTTGATGTTGACTTACTTTTTAAGACGATATTCGAGATTAAATAAGACACACATTAATCTCACCTGCTTTCGTCCGCCATGTTTGTGACGTCATAACTCTCGTTGACCCTGGGAAATCGGGGAGTATACTCTTGACCCAGTTTCGGAACTCGCGTGTTATACTCCCGTCGTTCTTGAATGAAACACGGGTGTCGAGTTGTAATTATAACTCGGGTTCTAAACGAACACACCCCTAGTGCACGAATTTCACCACCACAACACTCGTAGAATGCACCGGAAATAAACATTTTGTTTTCAGCAATTATTTAAAGTATGGATTATTATTTGGAGAAGAGTATCGGAAGACATTATGTAACCCACAGGTGAGTGTCAGAGATTCTACTTTCTATTTACGATAACGAAACTATATAGCGGAAGCATGCAATACTGAATTATGCGCACGCACCCCGAACGGAAGTGGGTCCGTCATTTCGTTCTCTGGACAGAATTAATAAGCCGCTCGGCTCTCGCCAAGAGCGGCTTAAAAATAAGATTAACGACCGACTTAAAAACTAGTCACAAATACATGTCATCACACTACAATAGTAACGTGACGTCACAAATACATGTCATCACACTACAATAGTAACGTGACCTCAGGATGTACACAAGTACATGTTGTTTTTGATAATGGTTAATCGGTGATATGTCAGCAATATCGCACAGGATTTCAATCGGTTGCTTTTATAATATAGCTTATGGAGGATCATGTTTTAAAAAAATACGTATTGTAATACACATAAATACTGATTATATATCGAATGAACACATATTTTACAAAACTCTTTTTATATCTAGTGTTAAAGCAAGCGTAGCATCTTTCATGTTGATGTGCTTACAGTCACAGTTTCAAAACATAAATTTTTGCCATATTTTGTTGTTATTACTTATACTGGACATGGATGTAGAAACTAATCCAGGTCCATCAGTAAATGAATTATCTCTATTTCATTTGAATGTTAGAAGCATAAGGAATAAATTAGAATATATTGAAAATATTACAAATGAATTCAATATTTTATGTATGACTGAAACACATTTGGATGAGTATGTACCTACTTCTGAACTAGTTCTACCGGGTTTTGTGGAACCATTTAGAAAAGACAGAAATTTCTCCGGTGGTGGTATCTTAGTATATTATTCTGTTTCCTTAAAATGTGTCCGGAGGAATGATCTCGAATTTCTGGATGGAGAAATAATTTGGATACAGGTAGAATTAGGTCACAATAGTGTATTAATATGTACCGTTTATAGACCAGAAAATTCACGTCACCCTTTTTGGGAGAATTTTAAGTATTCGATTGAAAAAGCTTTAGAAATTACTTCGAATGTTATTATTGTTGGTGATATAAATGTAGATATGCTAACGTTATCACGTAATCATATTTTACACCAAGTCATGTTGGAAATGGACTTAACTAACGTTATTAATGAGCCGACTAGGCGTGGAACAACCAGAAATAGTTTACTAGATCCTATTTTATTAACTGACCCTACCAAATGTACTGATTCGTATGTAATTCCGATTGATCGTAATATAAGTGATCATGATGCATGTATTGCATTTTTGTCTATACCTATAAATCTCTCTTGTACCTACACTCGAGAAATTTGGGCCTATAAACATGCCGATTTTAATAGGTTAAATTTTTAATAGATACTTTTGAGTGGCCTATATTTTTTCAAAACTTTATTTCTGTTAATGTAGCATGTGTTGAATTTACTGAACAATTTTTGAAACTTGCTAAAGAATGTATACCTAAAAAACAGTTTATATAAGACCTCGTGATAAATTATGGATGAATTCCCAATTAAGAAAAGCTTTTCAGTTACGAGACCGGTTACATAACGCCGTTAAATGTGTTAAGTCCATAACTTAGAGAAATTTAAAAGACAAAGAAATAAGGTTAATAATATGAAAAAATATGCAAGAGAAATGTTTTATAATAGTGTTGGTGAGATTATAGATAATCTTAATACCAGTAATCCTAAGTCATATTGGAGACTAGTGCGTAAATTATTAAAACAGTCGGGTTCTCAGGAGGTTATTCCACCTCTAGTTAATCCTTGCAATGGAAATATTGAATTTGATGATGATAAGAAAGCAAATATTCTAAATAATTATTTTAGCTCTATCTCAAACATAGATGATATTGGCAAATCTTTACCCAGTTTTGATTCCAGAACTGATTCTGTACTTGATTCTATTGTGGTTGAAAGTGATGAAATATGTGATATTTTGAAAATTCTGAAATTAGGAAAAGCATCTGGTCATGATACTATAAGTCATCATATGCTAAAATTTACAGCGAATTCTATATGTAAGCCATTGTCAATTCTTTTTAATATGTCACTAAATTCTAAAATATTCCCTGAAATATGGAAACATGGTATTATTTTACCTCTGTTCAAAAAGGGTGATAGACACTTGGTGTCAAATTACCGACCAATTACTTTGTTGTCTTGTATAGGTAAGGTTTTTGAAAGGGTTGTATTTAAACACATCTATAATTTTTTCCTTGATCATTCTTTATTTTACGAAAAACAATCTGGTTTTATGATTCATCATTCCACTGTCCATCAGCTAATAGAAATTTACCATAATATATGTTGTTCATTAGAAGAAAAAAAACATACTTGTCTAATTTTTTGTGATATATCGAAGGCTTTTGACCGAGTTTGGCATAGGGGTCTTTTACATAAATTACATGCTTATGGTATTAGAGATGGTTTACTACATTGGTTTAAAAATTACATTTCAAACAGACAACAACAGGTTCTTGTTAAAGGTGTGTATTCTAATATAGGTTACACAAATGCTGGTGTACCACAAGGAAGTGTGTTAGGTCCTCTGTTATTTTTGGTTTATATTAATGATATTGTTGATAATTTAAATTGTATTTCACGCTTATTTGCTGATGATACCTCTTTGATGTATTCTTCGTCTTCTCATGCTGATATTGAAATGTGTGTAAACAGAGATTTGGAAAAACTTGACAAATGGTCACGGGACTGGCTTACTAAATTTAATCAACAGAAAACTGATGTGTTATTTATATCTAATTCGCGAAATATACTTCCTTTACAGATTTGTTTTGGTACTGAGACTCTGAATTGTGTTGAAAGTCATAAACATTTAGGCGTAATATTTAGTGCAGATGCAAAATGGTCTTTACATATTTCCGAAATTCAAAAAACATGCATGAAAAAGGTATCAGTACTACGAAAGTTTAAATTACTGTTGAGTAGGAAAACTTTGTTAAGAATATATAAAGTATTTGTGTTGCCTGTGTTGGAATATGCCTGTGAAGTTTGGGATGGTTGTTCTCTGGCAGATCTAACTAAACTTGAACAAGTTCAGCTTGAAGCAGCAAGAATTATTACTGGCCTACCCTCTTTTTCTAGTAAACAATCACTTTATCAAGAATCCCAACTTGAACCTCTATCTGAAAGAAGAAAACTTAAGAAACTTTCCCTAATGTACAAACTCCATAATAAACAAACACCTTCTTATTTAACTAACATTCTTCCTCCTAAAGTATGCGAACGCAATAGCTACAACTTGAGAAATACTGAAAACTACACTGTTCCCAATTTCCGTCTGTCTAGTTCATTCCAATCCTTTATTCCTTCTTCTATAAGACTATGGAACGATTTACCAAATACTGTCAGAGAGCAGCCATCCGTTAACATTTTTAAATCATCGATTAAGCGTAACCAAGGTTACTTGTTGCCTATTTTTTTTCATGTAGGAAATCGAAAACTAAATATTTTACATACACGATTGCGTCATTCATGTAGTAGTTTAAATTATGATTTGTATAGAGTTAATATTGTAGGTGATCCAATGTGTGCATGTGGAAATGAGTGTGAAAATGCAGTCCATTACTTTTTTGATTGTATGCTGTATATCAGACAAAGACAAATTTTGATTGATGATATCTCACGTTATTGTAATATTTCTCTAAATGTTATTATGTACGGTTCTCCAAATTTGTCAGATGAAGACAATGAAAATATCTTCCATATAGTCCAAACCTACATTAAAAATAGTAACAGATTTTAAGGTCAGTAGTATTATCCTATCATCTCTCTTTCTTATTCTTCTAAATTTCTTTTCTTCCCTTTTCCCTTCCTTTCTTCTTTGTTCATATATATTATAAATATATTTGTTGTTGTTGTCATGTAATCAATATAATGAAATGTATTGGAGAGGGCGTTTCTAAGTTGAGATAACTTGTGCCTAATCCTTTTTGTTGAATGACAAATAAAAAATGTTTTAATCAAAACACAAGATTGGGGACAATTTAGCCTAAAATTTTACTGTGGCCTGTTGAGACTTTTAATATTTTGATTAGTTGGTCTTCTTTCGTTTCTCTTACAAGAGTGTCTGATGAAAATAGTTGATACAAAGGTAATACATTAAATTTATCTCCAGCACATTCATGAATATGTTTGTTAACATGAAGATTTCGTAAAGAATCAGTTCTAGTTTGTTGTCTATGTACAGTCACACGTGTTCCGAGTTCATTACCGGTTTGACCGATGTAAAAATCACCACATTTAGAACAAACTATTGCACGAATTACATTTTTTTATTTACAATTCATATTTACCTTCACAGTAAATTTCAAACCATTCTTGAACATTGATGTATATTTAAATAAATTGCTAACGTGTCAGTGGCGGATCCAGAGACCTGTCTGGGGGGGGGGTTCCAAATTTCCTGGGGGGTTTCCAGGTGGGGCAAAATTGAGTAAAATGGTGAAAATACATGATTTTTAAAGAAACTTCTCAGGCTGGGGGGGTTCCTGAAGCCCAAAAAACCCCTCTGGATCCGCTACTGCGTGTGTATATATATGAACAACATTGATGTATATTAAAATAAATTGCTAAGTACAAGTGGGACGTATATAAACAACGATGTATATTTAGATAAATTGCTAAGTATAACGGGACGTATATATATATGAATATTATATTTGAATACGTTGGCTGTATCAAAACTAAGAAGTCCAAAATAAAGCACAAACATTCTGATTTTTTTTTTTTTTTGTGTCTTTTCGTCATTATGTTTTTTCTTTATTTCGTTCCTTGCTATATATCGTTGTTTCGTCTTTTCGTGATATCGTTTTTTTCGTCTTTTCGTTATTTAGCTTTGGCGCTTTGGCGTTATTTCGCTTTGGCAGGTTTTCGTCTTTTCGTTATTTCGTTTTTTCGCTTGGCGTTATTTCACGGGCGACAAAGCGAAAAGACGAAATGTCATATATAAGCCACCATAGATAACACTGCCGCACACTTAACATGTCGTCGACGCTGGTTGAAAGTCATATTCAAATTCAAATGATATGTGAAGATTTTGCTATACATTCGTCCAATTTATTACACCCTCTGACCAATCCCATATAGATACTATCATTAATCTTACCTAAACATATACAGAACGCTTGTGCATTACCGTTACAATGTTTACCGTCTACACTTACATTAACACAATAACCATTGTACCTGCAACTGTTGTTACCCAGTACCTTCTCATTACCTGACTACAGAACGTGATCAATTTCTATGACGTTTACAACAATACATGTAGACGGAGCTATATATATATATATATATATATGTTCCACAAACGAGACGCAATTATGGGACGTCATCAATCATTGATGCGTGCCGAGTAAATCAAGGCTTATGAACCATTCACAAAAGGTACTGAAAATGTAATTAATATTTTCTATTTCGATCAGGTAATTGCATGATAACTCAAGTTAAAAACGTAAATTTAATAAATGGGTAAGCTGGAATGTTCAACAAACATAATTCTATCTCTGGCGCACTTTAAACTTGAATATCATCCCATTTATTGCACCATTTCTAACACACCTTGAATTTAAATATAATTCCATTATTGTCAAACGAGTATTTGGGTACAACTGTTTGCGAACAACGTTTCCATTTTCCCTCTTTTTCCAGTTTTAGGAAGAAGTTTTCCAATTTTCCTGCGTATTCCTGCACGTGTGTAAGATATTCCTCCCTCATCACGATGATGATGTATCCACCTAATAACATAATTGAGAGACACATAATATCACTGTGAAGGACGTGTACACGAGTTAACGTAATCACGTGCTTCAGTCGCCTGTACAATAACAACATCCGTACATAATGTAACCTGACTGATTATTAAAACAAGCGTTAGCTTAGACATGTCAGCTTTTTTTCTTTTAAACATCGAGTTCAATTATTCCGTCTTTTCGTATTGCAGAGTTATCTGCTCTTGTGAGCAGGTATTGATTGTTACGTCAATAGTTTGTATGAGAAAATTACGTCGTTTTCTCAAAAAAAGATAACGTTACTTTCACGAACAAATGACGTAACAATCAATACCTGCTATCAAGAGCAGATAACTCTTCAATACGAAAAGACAGAATAGCAATTGCAAAGACATTTTATCTTTGAAACGAAATAAATAATTAATTTCGATGTCTTAATTAGATTATATAAATTATGTACGTGAGTTTTTTTTCTTTTCGCAGATAACTTTTCTTCCATTGGTTTTCCTTTCAACCACTCCGCCCCTGCACCTACGCGTGTGTAATATAATTGGAATGATTGAAGAATGACTTGTCTTTCTCGTTAGGGTATCCATCAACCTCCATTGATTATATACGTATTATCATATACTTGTCTTTGGCATGGCTGGCTTTGAATGTGCGATACTGCTAGCTGTGCTGAGGTTGTACGAACCGACCTATATGTGCCCAGCACGCGCCATATCCGCGTTGCACGCGCCTTACTCTTCAAGCACACGCCTTATCTGGTTTACTTCCGGCTCGACAAATTGCAAAAAATCACACAAGAATTGCTTGCTGATTAATGGTGTTTTTTTGGTGAGGCTAAAACCCAGAGGTCATTCCAAACCAACTGGAGGACATGAAAAGTTGTTTGAAGAATTTGCTGACATACGGAGGACGATGGACGCCTTTGTTCGGACTAGGTGAGCTAAACAGGTTACGACCATTTTCATATCATACCCTGTGTCTGCCATCCACGCATACAGCCCGATCCCTCCAATCCATCGGGCTGATATGGAGGTTTCAGGTCGATACAGGGTAAGGTATAGAAATAATCATGATAACCTATTTTAATAAAAAAAAAAAAAACCGGGTACTGATCCGATTATCCCGTGGTAACCTACTCTAAAAGGAGACATACAGAAAGATACTAAACGGAGACCTTTAACTACAGGGATAATGGTATGTTAATTCCAATGTTTCCTGTAACCAACACGTGCAGCTACCACATGTTGGTTCATACAAATGTACCTGGTTTGACTATCCTGATCATCTCCGTTAGAGCAGCACATGGGATGTGTCCCTCCCCCATCCCTCCGGCCACCGCAACGCAGGAGTATTTACCTATACCAACATAAACAACAGAAATACATAACGAAAGATAATGCTTCGTGAAATTATCGTGTGTTAATAAAAAGGGTCAGAAAACGAAGCCTTTATCGCATTTTTGATTCGTTCTACATTACCAAACATGAATACATGTATTTGAATTCGGGATATATTCGTCTACAAACAAACAGTACGAGTCAATTTATTTATTTATTTTCATATCAAGCGTTTCAACAATACATGTACATATTTATCATTATATCACTATGTTTCAGCACTACGTGCAGTTACAAACCATACTGAGCTCGCTGTGTTTTCATATTTAGTACAACACAAGGCAGGTATCTGTAACATGTGGTTTATTGTGATTCAAAAGGCGTTTTTGTTTAAACGACTGAAATGGAAACGACTGTTTTTTCTACATATTTACTGTAAACTTAGGGAATTGCTGGGGTTGTGGCCTTCTTACTGCTGTCAAATGGAGACTATGGATTAAATGTCGGAATGTCCGAGTTCGGGGCTAACATACTACTGTCTATGTTAAAGCTAAGGTTCATATTGTCCTTTTCTCTGTTGACAGTTTTTGCGACTTACCATCGTTAATAAGGATCACCCTGTTGATTAACATAATCTTCCCCTACCCTGTGGGTGTGACAGAAATCTCCAACCCTCGGGGTGATTATTTTCGTTGTCTAACCCTCGGCTCAAAAATAATCATCCCCTACCTTAAGGGTAAAACAGAGAAATCTCCACCTCGGGGTGATTATTTTGGTTGTCTAACCCTCGGAAGAGCCTCGGGTTAGACAACCAAAATAATCACCCCGAGGTGGAGATTTCTCTATTATACCCTTAAGGTAGGGGATGATTGTTTTTCTCCCATCTTATTATTTCGGTCACAACTCCACCGACAGTAGTGTAAACAAAAACACATGTGGGGTAGGAATATCGTCATTCACTATTGATTACGTCACAATTACCAGTGACGCATTTTAATGTCGTCACAATTGAACAAGTGCTTATCGGCACGAGGCTATCTCCCCCTAGGGGTTGACTAATATAATCTATCGCTACTGGTGTAAGATAGAGAAATCTCAACCCGAGGACTAAGATTTTTTGTCCAGAACGAGGCTTGCCGAGTTCTGGACAAAAAATCTTAGTCCGAGTAACGACTGATTATTTTTCTCCCATATCTAACAGTATTTTAATGTGAAATAAAGGTAAACATGGACCCAAAACACATACAGGCAATTTGTTGATGGATTGTTGACGTGACGTCATTGTATTGTTGAAGTGACGTCATGCCATTGTTATGAATAGGGGAATCCCCCCGTCTCAACTCTAGGGCGGAGACAGATAAATCTAGCACCGGCAAAACGGGAGATAAATCTGTCAGGTGTGGGAGAAAAGCTGATCTTTCCCTGTTGAAACGGGAGACACGCATGTGAAGGGTGGGGGAATTACTTACCATTGTATGCAGACAATATAGAGTTGTTTTACGTATTTTGCCTTGTATATGGCGTAACGTTTAACCTTGTCAATATGGAGAATAAAGTTCATGGCGTACTTAACCATACATAGGGATACATTTTTCGTTTTTTTTTCAATACGAAAAGCAAGATTTTGTCTTACTTAAACTTGTTTACCGGAAAATGTTAAACTTTATCAATACGAAGGACAGCGTTTATAAACTTTATCTATTTTACAACAATTATGAAACAAGTAATTACAACTTATGTTAATCATTTTTGTTGTCCGGATGTTAGCACGCTGGGCGGGGATGGGTCTTAACGTGATGTTGGAGGAAACCGAAGTACCCGAAGAAAACCCAAGTGGTTTAGTGGTTTATAGAGTACACTTACCCTTATATATGGTCCAAAGCTTCACATTGTCTACAGTTTGTGACATATACTTAGACTCTGTGGTAAAATGTTTAGCTTTGCTAGTCCGTTTGGGTGACTAAGTTTGTCGTGTTCATACCCGTGTCTACAAGAAGGATATTTACCATTGTCAATAGGTAGAGTGGCATCGGACATGAACTCGCAGTACAGTTTGTTATATATATTCTTTGCCCTGGCCACATCTAGCATCTTATCAGACGGGTCCAGACCATCCACATTGACAAAGCCCTCTTTCTTAAGCTACAAGAAATCAAAACACATCTAACGTTAGCACATACCATGTACCGCACTGTTGGATATTTTACGTTAAAAATGGCGTTTTACTTCTCCTGTCTGTTGGTTATTGAAAGTGTTCTGATGCATGTAATATATTAAGGATATTTAATGGTGTCTTCAGTAATAACAAATATATTTCACGAGTGTGGCTAATATATTGATACATGTATTTGTTCACGAGTGCGCAGGACGAGTGAAAAATATCAAAATATTAGCAACACGAGTGAAATGTATTTGTTATAACTGAAGACACCATTACATTTTCTATCTATTACATTTTTAAAGCATAAATCATGAAAAAATGTAATGTATTAAAAAAGGGCAGGAATCAGAAGCGTAATAATAAGCGCCATAATCTAATGACGTCACGCTTGCATTGACAACAAGGCTGCGCGCCAATTTGAATGGGATAATCAACGCAATTCCGAAGTTTTTTACTGTTTCCTGGTATGATTGCTTATACAAATGTTATTAATTGTATATTTATGTAAATACTTAAGTCTGTGTACCAAACATTTACCATAACAACCACTTATTCTACCGTCGCTTCATTTGAATCTGAACAAATAAGCGTTGCCTTTGAATGCAGCAAATAGAGAAAACCGTTATGATTGGTCAATACCAAAAAGTGATATTTTCACAGTACAAAATATCACTTTTGATATTTGTCACAGTGTGAAAGATATCAGTTTTATCAAGTTGTTAGAATCCGATATTTTACTGACAAAAGGTAAAAAAATAGTTGCTCCACCTGCCCATTATGCTACGGTAGGTTAAAGATGGTTTTACAATTTTAAAATTTAAAAAAAGATATGTCGACCGATCTAGAATTGTAAAGCTAAGAGATAGTACTAGATTATCTTTTATAAAAATAATAATAATTCGAAGTTTTTATAAAACGCTTTACCACAACCTAGTTTGTAGATCGTCTCAAAGCGGTTCAAAAATTACTATCCGCGGTTATAGGGCCTTTGCAACCAGCAAACATCTTTCTCGACTCCCTGTGGAACATACAGCTGGTGCTGCCATTTCGGCGCTCACAGCTAGCATTCAACAGTTCTAGCACTGCCCAACCACGTACATATTTACAGCTGAGTAGACTGGAACAAGTGGAGTAAATAAACTTGCTCAAGGATACAACACAGTACCGTGCCGCGACTCGAACCCGCAACCCTTCGCTCACGAGCCCAGCGTCCTACCACTAGACTAGCTACCGTGCCTCCTTTTTTACTCTTGTAATTTTCTTCAAACGTGTATTAGTATTATCTACATGCTATCATCGATAGGGGTGAACGACCCCTGTATACTTTCAACACCATTCAAGCAAATGTAGAGCGAAGGATGTAAAAACAGAAACAAATTAATCATACTTAACGCTGAAAACAGTGAAAAATTAATAACACCTTCTAATAAATAAACACATGTATTGACGTTTTATGGTTGTGGTGGTGATAATGAACAATGTATATCTTTTAAGTTGAAAAATGCTACGTAATAAATGAGTAGAAAGGCGGTCTATCAAAATCTAGATGTTAGAGATAGTGAATGAATTCAACTATCTTGGAATCTTATTGAAATATAATGGGAAATTTAAACAAACACAGAAAAAAAATATCTGAACAAGGAAGAAAAGCATTGTTTGCATTATTGGGGGTATGTAAAAAACAGTATTTTAATATTGAGACTCAATTAGCAGTGTTTGATACTTATGTCAGTAGTATAGTCAACTACGGATCAGAAGTATGGGGATTCCATAAAGGCCCCGACATCGAAAAACTACATGTAGATTTTTGTAAAAGGTTGCTAGGTGTGCGCAAATCCACTCCGAATATGATGGTATATTTCGAATTAGGCCGTTATCCATTGCATGTAATAAGGAAACTAAAAATATTTAAATATTGGTTTAAATTGCTCAATACCGAAAACTGTATTTTGAAATCCTGTTATGAAAATATGCTGCTAATCAAGGATCCATGGGTCTGTGAAATAAAAGATGAATTGTATCGTTTAGGCTTAGGATATATCTGGGACGCACAGAATGGAAACAATTTCACTTTTTTAATTATTAAGGCAAGATTATTTGACATTTTTAATCAAGAGGGATATAGTCTAATTACAGGTATGTCTAAAGGTATGCTTTACAGAGAATTAAACAGTACAATTTTACTACAATCTTATCTAACAAAATCAGTTAATATCGGTTATATGAAAGAAATTGCTCGACTTAGGCTGTCAGCTCACAAATTAAACATTGAATCTGGACGTTATGTTGGCACTGTTAGAACTAATAGATTATGTACAAAGTGTAATCTTAATGACATAGAGGACGAGTTTCATTTTGTTTTAGTTTGCACAAGATATACAGATTTAAGACGGAAGTATTTAAAATTTTACTATAGAAATAACCCTAGTGTATATAAGCTTGTTCAATTACTTAATACACCGAATATTAAAGGATTATGTAATCTTGGAAAGTATCTGATAGCGGCAAATAAGCGCCGATCAGATATATGACAGTTTGTATGTGTGTATTGTTCATTCTCCTGTGACCAATGTGGCTTTTTGTACATATGTAAATATCCTGTTTAATATATGTTTATACTGATAAGTCGCAAGACTTAAAGTTAATAAAGAACTTGAACTTAGATGTCGTGAGAACATTTTTAAAGCACTTTGATATTTTAGTGTTTTTGAAATTTAGTATTTCAGTACAACTACAAGAGCTAAATACCCCAAAGTACGACTTAGTTCACATTTTGACCTGGTGTGTTGACGCCCCTATATAGTTGTGCGATTTCGCCCTTATGTTGATACTACTGTATGGTAGTATGAGTTTGACCTGGTGTGTTGACGCCCCTATATAGCTGTGTGATTTCGCCCTTATGTTGATACTACTGTATGGTAGTATGAGTTTGACCTTGTGTGTTGACGCCCCTATATAGCTGTGTGATTTCGCCCTTATGTTGATACTACTGTATGGTAGTATGAGTTTGACCTGGTGTGTTGACGCCCCTATATAGTTGTAAGATTTCGTCCTTATGTTGATACTACTGTATGGTAGTATGAGTTTGACCTGGTGTGTTGACGCCCCTATATAGTTGTAAGATTTCGCCCTTATGTTGATACTACTGTATGGTAGTATGAGTTTGACCTGGTGTGTTGACGCCCCTATATAGTTGTAAGATTTCGTCCTTATGTTGATACTACTGTATGGTAGTATGAGTTTGACCTGGTGTGTTGACGCCCCTATATAGTTGTAAGATTTCGCCCTTATGTTGATACTACTGTATGGTAGTATGAGTTTGACCTGGTGTGTTGACGCCCCTATATAGTTGTAAGATTTCGTCCTTATGTTGATACTACTGTATGGTAGTATGAGTTTGACCTGGTGTGTTGACGCCCCTATATAGTTGTAAGATTTCGCCCTTATGTTGATACTAATGTATGGTAGTATGAGTTTGACCTGGTGTGTTGACGTCCCTGTATGGTACATGTACGTACATGTAGTACGTGTTTCAACTGGTGTGTTGACGCCCCTGTATGGTACAATGGTAGTGCGAGTTTGCCCTTGTGAGTTGACGCCCCTGAACGGTAATATGAGATTGACCTTGTGTGTTGACGCCCCTGTATGGAAGTACTAGATTCACCGTGTGTGTTGAGCTACAGTATGGAAGTACAATATTGATCTTGCGGTTGACGCCCCTGTATGGAAGTACAATATTGACTTTGTGTGTTGACGCCCCTGTATGGAAGTACTAGAATGACCTTGTGTGTTGACGCCCTTGTATGAAAGTACAATATCGACCTTGTGTGTTTCGCCCCTGTATGGAAGTACAATATCGACTTTGTGTGTTGACGCCCCTGTATGGAAGTACTAGAATGACCTTGTGTGTTGACGCCCCTGTATGGAAATACAATATCGACTTTGTGTGTTAACGCTACAGTATGGAAGTACTAGAATGACCTTGTGTGTTGACGCCCCTGTATGGAAATACAATATCGACTTTGTGTGTTGACGCTACAGTATGGAAGTACTAGAATGACCTTGTGTGTTGACGCCCCTGTATGGAAATACAATATCGACTTTGTGTGTTGACGCTACAGTATGGAAGTACTAGAATGACCTTGTGTGTTGACGCCCCTGTATGGAAATACAATATCGACTTTGTGTGTTGACGCTACAGTATGGAAGTACTAGAATGACCTTGTGTGTTGACGCCCCTGTATGGAAATACAATATCGACTTTGTGTGTTGACGCTACAGTATGGAAGTACTAGAATGACCTTGTGTGTTGACGCCCCTGTATGGAAATACAATATCGACTTTGTGTGTTGACGCTACAGTATGGAAGTACTAGAATGACCTTGTGTGTTGACGCCCCTGTATGGAAATACAATATCGACTTTGTGTGTTGACGCTACAGTATGGAAGTACTAGAATGACCTTGTGTGTTGACGCCCCTGTATGGAAATACAATATCGACTTTGTGTGTTGACGCTACAGTATGGAAGTACTAGAATGACCTTGTGTGTTGACGCCCCTGTATGGAAATACAATATCGACTTTGTGTGTTGACGCTACAGTATGGAAGTACTAGAATGACCTTGTGTGTTGACGCCCCTGTATGGAAATACAATATCGACTTTGTGTGTTGACGCTACAGTATGGAAGTACTAGAATGACCTTGTGTGTTGACGCCCCTGTATGGAAATACAATATCGACTTTGTGTGTTGACGCTACAGTATGGAAGTACTAGAATGACCTTGTGTGTTGACGCCCCTGTATGGAAATACAATATCGACTTTGTGTGTTGACGCTACAGTATGGAAGTACTAGAATGACCTTGTGTGTTGACGCCCCTGTATGGAAATACAATATCGACTTTGTGTGTTGACGCTACAGTATGGAAGTACTAGAATGACCTTGTGTGTTGACGCCCCTGTATGGAAATACAATATCGACTTTGTGTGTTGACGCTACAGTATGGAAGTACTAGAATGACCTTGTGTGTTGACGCCCCTGTATGGAAATACAATATCGACTTTGTGTGTTGACGCTACAGTATGGAAGTACTAGAATGACCTTGTGTGTTGACGCCCCTGTATGGAAATACAATATCGACTTTGTGTGTTGACGCTACAGTATGGAAGTACTAGAATGACCTTGTGTGTTGACGCCCCTGTATGGAAATACAATATCGACTTTGTGTGTTGACGCTACAGTATGGAAGTACTAGAATGACCTTGTGTGTTGACGCCCCTGTATGGAAATACAATATCGACTTTGTGTGTTAACGCTACAGTATGGAAGTACTAGAATGACTTTGTGTGTTGACGCCCTTGTATGGAAGTTCAATATTGACATTGACTTGGTGTTGACCTTGTGTATTTGCGCTACTGCATGGTATACAATGTACGAGTCTGACCTTGTGTATTGGCGCTACTGTTTGGAAGTACGATCCTGACATTGTGCTTTAAACACATGGTAGAATGAGTCTGGTCCTATGTGTTCAGTCTACTGTGTGGTAGTATGAGTCTGGCCCTATGTGTTCAGTCTACTGTGTGGTAGTATGAGTCTGGCCCTATGTGTTCAGTCTACTGTGTGGTAGTATGAGTCTGGCCCTATGTGGTCAGTCTACTGTGTGGTAGTATGAGTCTGGCCCTATGTGTTCAGTCTACTGTGTGGTAGTATGAGTCTGGCCCTATGTGTTCAGTCTACTGTGTGGAAGTACGAGTCTGGCCTTATGTGTTAAATCTACTGTATAAGGTACATTTGTAGTATGCTATTCCTGTTGTACTTCATAACACAACAGTAACGTCTCTCTCGCTTGAAACAACGTCTACATTGCTTAAATTTTGTCAGAGTCTTGACAGGTCTAGGAGACAAGTGCGTATTCTCAGAGAGACTGTTACATGGTATACGTATCATAATATCATCTGATAGTTATAACACTGTTACGATTCCCAACCAGTCCTTGCTGTGGAAGCTACCAACAATTACCGATTTATGGCAATCATATGTTTGACGTCAGCATGTATACCTTTTCTCCTAGGAATCCAGTACCACATGCCACATCTAAGATGCTGACTGACTTCCGGTTCGTAGTGTCGACCGGAAATGCCTCCGTTACTGCCATGCATGCGTAATACGGGCCTTGATATCTGTCTTGGTTTAGGTCCTGAAAAGAGGCAGTAACTCTGTATAAGGTCACATAAAAATAAGGTGAATAAATCATTGACCAAAATATCAGAAGGCCAAACATCCGCATCAGGATATTTTTTATTCAAAAATATTGCTAACGCGATGTTATCTAGTGATGACAATCCTGTTAACCCGCCCTTCAAAAATATTTAAACGTTTATTTCAATTAAGAAAAAAGAAAAGACATCAACGGTATGAATACATGTACACGTATGTACATTATATATGTGGAATATTTTTAGTTACCTTGATCGATTTTACACACTTTGTCAGAAGTATACTACTGTACATGCATTTTGTGTAATGAAAACGGTAAAGGAAACACTTATGTTTAATTAGTTTAAAAACAAACAGAATTTCCTTTCTTTTACAAGAAATATTCGATACAGGTAAGATTGGTAATCTTTATAAAATGTATCGACTGATAATAAATAATCCGGAAAGTTTGTAAGCATTGGTACGAAAACAAATGATTATATGTACCTACTATGAGCTCGTGAATCTTGAAATTAAATTCAACGACTCGAATTAACAATTGTTTAGTAATCAAGTTGGAATTAACATATTTAAATTATCATGATATACAGTATTGTTCATATTCAAGATATATATCCGATAGATTTTTTTCCATTCTGAAAGACATCATCTGACTACTTGTTACATAATGGCGATATAATTCATAAGTAAGCATATATACCGCAGATCTATTTAAAGAGTAATACGTTGTGTATTGTAAAGTGAGTGTGAACTTTTCATTGGTACATGTAACCTATCACGTACTTGCTCATACTCTCCCGCCCACTTAGAGTAGTACTCGGCTACTTCGGTCATACTCATCCCGGGCTTGTGTGCGCCAAAGTTCGTGCAGTACGCCTGGCCATCTGGTGCATCGCTAGACTGTATGAAACGTTTCGCCTTTACCTCTGCCATTCTGAAAATAACAATCGAATATGGATGCATGACTTAAAGCGATGACCTCTTGTATGAGAGGTGAGACGGTGAAGAAAAAAAAGATAAATGTAACAAAGATGCTTTATTAATTGGCCTTTTTTAACATGAAACTGTGGTTGACTCAAGTGGTTGACTGACCGTCCCAGAAGTTAGCCGTAATGTATTCTGTGACATAACAGGGGTCATTATCATTCTGTAGAGCGTTAGACTAAACCAGAGGTCCCGTGTTCGACTCCTTGCGGAGCATTGAACAAATATTTACCTGTGTTACATCAGCACTGGAAGTTAAATCAGCCGGGATTTACGTGAAATATTGGCTTATACATCAATAATACGCTATCTATTTTTGTGAAAATTAAGATTTTTCAACATTAAGGGTTTATTCACAAATTTCACTGAATTTCTACATGTTTCAGAACACTTTTAAATGTCACTGAAAAGGTTCATTTAGCAGAAATATCAGATATATATGTGTGACCAGTGACCAAGCTGGCAGAATGTCAGCGAAACTGTCTGGGTAAAAATATCGTTATCGTTCTTGCACATATAAACCAAACTTTGAACTCATATAAATCACTGCGGTCTGCCCGTATATACTCACACAGAAGGCCTTAATATAGAAGGAAACAGGAGTACACCGTGGAAAGCCACGTGGACGGCCATGTGACCTGGTATAATCTGTTCACGGCCGATCGTGTAATCGAACCCCGACCGCCTAGGTGGAAGGCGAGTGCGCTCATATTTCTAGTGATAAGTATACACGGTTTGGTTTATGTAAACGGTACATCTGTATATACACCGACGGGCCTCTGTTTATGTATGAGCATGTGCTGGCAAAATCACGGAAGTAAGTTTTAAACACAAATAACTGCGCAACGAAAAGATTGGTACATTGTATGAAGGTATAGTGTAGCGGTCACCTAAATGCACAAACAATAGAAACATTCAACATGACAGAGGCGAATAAATGAACATGGGTGCGTACATGTACAAAATTATAACTGATTGAAATATGCAAAAAGGTCATCACAGAGAATAAGAGGTGTGATAAATAATAGTATTGCCTGCTAAACGTGTATAATTTCTAGCTCAGGCGTTACTTAATTCTTATTTGAAACAGTGTCTAGTGGCTTGACGTCACAATACTTGGCTACATCACACTTGTATTATGACATCTAATCTTATCCGATAATTCAATTCGTGTCTTTGTTGGGGAGGAATATATCTTCTCATTATAAAATGTATATATATTTAAGGATAAATCGGGCACTCATCAGATCTCATTTTAACTGATTATGATTCGTGTCCGATCTTCTTAGTTCATTCTGGAATATAATAGCTGAAAGCGAACATGATCTTTGTTGAATGTCAATAGCTGCCAAATAGCCAAGCGTTTCTAGGTTAAAGAAAATCGCTGAAAAATAGTTGTACATACATATATTTGATTATAAATGACGTCATGATACAATGCATCGGTTATGATTGACATAAACATTATTGATTACTTTGTAGATTATTTACTTGTACAGTGTAATTCTACGCGGTTTGCTATTTTAACGAGTAGGTTCTTGTTTGTCCTCCACACAGGTACATGTAAATTTATATTACTAATCAGTTGCCTTTGACAACATCATCTGTAGTATACATGACTTGTCCACGTGTATAATCGTGATCCACAGTTTATTGTTACAGTAAGCTTCACAGGTTGGGGGCTAGGTGTGATCCCTTATATCTGAGTAGTGTGAACGTGTGTGGGAAGTGTTAATCGAACACCACCGATCATATGGTGTTAGAGGTCACACAGCGTTAGCAACTGTTAATCATTACATCTATAATCCGGACACTTCTGTCGGTGTTGTCTGTTATACGATGGGACAAGTTCAGATCCCCAGGGACATTACACAAGCTTTTTTTTTTATACATGTAGGTTCCAATTATCTGTTTTGTTGATCTGTATATGTTTTTAAAACGTTTATTTCCTTTAAAATTTATTTTCAACTTAGAACTGAATTTGCAGATATTGTGCAACTTTAATTTCAAAGTCAAATTCCTCTTTTGTTAAACTGTTGAATTGTAATGATGCCGCTATAAATCTTCTTTTGTTTCCGTGACGGCTCTATTACGTTTGCTTGGGTGTGGTCTCCTATTGCTGACTTGACTTATTACCGTGGCACATTTACGACATGCGCAATTTTATTTTCTACATTAATTATCTCGAGCGCTTGACATAGCTTCCCGAGCGTCGTTGTACTATGACGTCAACTTTTTATGCAAAGACCTTATTATGTTTCCTCAAGACGTCAAGCTTAATTGAATTATTTCATTAAAACACACATTTGCATTACATATAAAAATGATATAACCCTCATATGTGGATTTTTAGAAAATCAATGTGTGAAGTTTAAGTAGTTTCGGAATATATTATGCACCTGTTTGCAGTGTTCTTATTCTAACTTGTTATGTACAATGTAGATAGGTTGGATAGCGAGATAATAAGTCGGGCGCTCGTGACGTTATGTCGAGCGCTCGAGATAATAAATTTAGAAAATAATATTGTGCATGTCCTAAATGTACCACCGTATAGCTTATAGCTAAACTTAGCAAGTTTGCTTTTTATTTGACCCATTAATAAAGGAGACCTACTAATACAGGTGTGATGTAGTCAAATAGTGGGACGTCAAGCGCGAAAGACTGTTTCATAAAAGGGGCAACGCCTGAGCTAGAAATGATGCGCGTTTAACAGGCTATAGAACTGATGGCGCAAATTCTTTCTTGGGTACATACTGAACTCATGCATCAAACCAAATGCATAGGTTTGGTCATACTCACGTCCATTTTCAAAATCTAAGAAATCTAAAAGCATACGTCATACACCTCAACAAACTAATTATCAACATCAGACCACAGTGAAATGGGACAAAGCCAAAATATTAATGAAAGGAACAATAGACCAAAACCACAGGGACCTGATAATTTGTTACAGCTATATTTGGACCTAAACTGGTGTTCAGAGTAATTTTACATGTTTAAGGGGTTTAGATCTACTTAAAATTGACACCCCCAATGATACCGAAAGTAGACCTAAACCCCTAAAACATGTAAAACTACTCTGAACACCTTAGTTTAGGTCCAAATATAGGTGTAACAAAATTATCAGGTCCCTGTGATGTAACCTAGCTATTCTTCACGCTCTAACAATGCGCGATATGTCCCATAGTGTAACGATAAAAACTATCGCAGTTTTGCATAGAGACGAGTCGGACTTGAAACGTTGGGACACATTTATACTTACACTGTAAAGTTAAAAAAATAAATAAAAAAAATCCTAAATTGTGAATCTTATTGGAGATATTTTTATTTCTGAGAATTATGCTTTTGTGTTATTAGTCGGTTCAGTGTGAAAATAACAACGGTCAGTTGTCGCATTTGAGGAAATATTAACATTATTTTTACTTTTAAGTCGTGTATTTCACTGGTAAATATATGAAAGATCATTTTGTTTTGTATATTCTAAATAAAAACGAGACACCCAAATAAAACCAAACCCCTTACAACTGCGCTATGTAATTATCTCGCTTTGTAGTATTACCCGTGCGGTTAATAAACGAGAATTTGACGGGACTTTCGATTGTGACGTCATAAGGTATAACGCTGTCATTTGATTGTGACGTCAAAATAGTAAGGGTCACTTACAGAACTCATATTCCACACGAGTGTTCTGTAAAACAGTACGTACTTTACACACTTGGGGTTGGGGGAAAGTAACTGTATCCCTCTATTTATGTATATTTCGCTTGTTGAATATGACAAACGAAACATGAGGCCCAGAGGGCCTGTATCGCTCACCAGTTTCTTTTGTCACATAAAACTGACATAGGTTACTTCAGACCAAATTTGGTAAATAGAACACAAGACATTTTACGGTTCTTAAATTGTTGTTTGAAATTTCAAATTGGAATTTTAAAGCTTTTAACCCACGTTGACCTTTACTCCGGCTAGCACTTAAAGTTGGCCTTTGACCTCATTACTGTAATAAAGAAAACGATTCACACAGCTGGTCTACATAACATATACCCAAGTATTATGACTTTATAGTCCAAATGATTCTTAAGATGTTGTTGTTTGAAGTTTTTAACATATTTGACCCATGTGACCTTGAAACTAGGCCAATGCCATTTTAATGAGGACGCTTTATACAATGTAGCACTCCATTCAAGGTACCTACTGGCAAAATAGCATGATCCTTGGCCTTATGGAACCTGAGAAGATTGTAAAAGCTTTTAACCCATGTTGACATTTGACTCCCGACTAGCACTTAAAGTTAACCTTTGACCTAATTACTGTGATAAGAAGAGTCGCACTGCTAGTCTTCATAACATACCTAAGTATTATGACTCTAGTCCAAATGGTTATTAGGATAGTGTGTTTTTTTAACATATTTGACCCCTATGGCTTTGAAATTAGTTCAAGGTCATTTTAATGAGGAAATATTATAGCACTATATCCCAGGTACCTACTGGCCAAATATCATGACCCTGGGCCTTATGGAACCCGAGGAGAAGATTGTTAAAGGTTTTTACCGATATTGACCTTTGACCCCGGCTAGCTAAGCCAGTTAAGCTAAAAACCATTCACCCTGCTCCATGCAACTCAGTTTATTCAATTACCCAAATATGGACCCCCTCCTCCCCACACACACAAACATATAACTCTCAAATTACACCGCCGTTACATGCTTACCCACAGCAAATGAATCCCTTGACGTAACAGACGTAGCTTACTGATCAGATTTATACAATGACTCTGCTTACAGTGAACAAATCAAATCGAAATCAAATTTCTTTATTCCCATATACTCCTTTACAAAGGCACAGTGACCAGGCTTGTGATTACTATTTTGTACATATAGTTATGTAACTACGAGGACTGCGTGTTCCTTTGATAACAAAAAATAACTGTAATATGTTCAAAATGAAAAAC